CAGTTCTGACTGAATGAGTCAGAACAACAATAACATAGTCAAATGCCTTTACGTAGTCAATAAAACAAAAGTAAACATCTTTCTGGTATTTTCTGTTTTTAGCCAGGATCCACGTGACATCAGCAATGCTGTTTCTTTGTTCCAGCTTGAGTTTCTGGCAGCTCCCTGTTGCTACAGTCCTACTTAGTAAAATATTTAACTTAGGTTCATTGTTATATCACTAACCCTTCATTAACATTTGATAGTGAAGTTAAAAATAGTGACTTCATGAAACTTTGATGACACATTTTATATTTCTTAATCTTGGACCAGTGTTTTGCTGATTCCACTTATTGAATGATTTAAGGCACTTCAAACAGCTGGTTTCAGTGGTCTAGAACTGGACCTCCCAACATGTGACCAGACAAAGCCACCAATGTCGCTGGTGCTGCCCAGCAGCTGCTCCCACTAACAGCTGGCTGTTCATGCATGCTTCCATCTCTCTGTCTTAACTAAGCTCGGCTTTCCTAAAAATGGTTCTTCTTCCTAGGAATTTCTGTTTTCTGATTAGGGTAAACTGCTTGGTCTTATGTTTGTAATAGTTACATGGTTGTTGGTAAGTGCAGCTGAGTCAATTTCAACTCATAGCAACCATTAGGGTAAGTCCAAAAAGTCTTGCTACTAGGGTTCTGGGAGTCCTGGTTTGGCACTGGAGGATAAGCAATGGGCTTTGAACATAAAGGTCAGAGATTCAAATCCACTAGTCACTCCTCAGAAACCCTAGACAGGGTCACTATGAGTTGGAACCAACTCAACAGCACTTAACAGTAACAACTAGAGTTCCAGTTTATACATGTACAGGCTTAGAAACCTTATACAAGGTCACTATGAGTAAGAACCGACTCCATGGCACTTAACAACTTCCTGGGCTAAATTAAAAAGTTTTTGAACACCATGTACAATATTCATCCCTCCAAACACAGACCAAACTTTGATTTTAAAAACTATATGGTTTATATTAATCCTATTAGTTGTTGCTGTTATTAGGTGTCATTGAGTGATTCGTGATTCTGTGTAAAATAGAAAGAAACACTGCCTGGACCAGTGCTATCCACACAATTGTTATATTTGAGCCATTGTGGCCGCCACTGTGCCTATCCAGCTTATTGAGGTCTTTTATCTTGTTTGCTGACCTTCCACTTCACTAGGCATGATGTCCTTCTTCAAGGACTGGTCAAGAGTGGTCTGACATGTCCAAAGTATATGACACGAAGTTTCACCATTGTCACTTCCAAGGAACAATCTGACCTTACTTCTTTCAAAGCCAATCTGTTCTTCTGGAAGTTCATGGTATATTCAACCACTATGACTCAAAATACATCAATTCTTTTCCAATCTTCCTTATTCACCGTACAGCTTTCACATGTATATTAAGTGAATGAAAATGCCATAACTTGGTTATACAGGTTTATTCCAAATGAATGTGTCTAAACATGTCTCTGTGATCAGTCATAATTTGTTAGCTAATTGGAATTCTTCAGTAATACACTTGCCTTAAGTTTCATTGTTGTTGCTGTTCAGTGCCATCGAGTCAGTTCTGACTTATAACAATCCTGAATGGAGTTTCTGATGAGCAGCTGGCGGATTTGAACTGCTGACCCTGTGGTTCACAGTCCAGTGACGATCCTACAGCGCCACACCAGAAGTTCCTAGTCTTGTTAGGGTGCCTTTAGAAAAGACATCCAATTAAAATGATGACTTCCAAAAGGATCTGCTTCTTGTTGTTGTTACGTACCACTGAGTCAGTACCGAACAGCACGAAACACTGCCCAGTCCTGGGCTAACCTCACAATTGCTGCCAAGCTTGAGCCCACTGATGCTGCCATTTTTCCAATCCATCTCACTGGGGTCTTCCTCTTTTTCTCTGACCCTCCACCTTACCAAATATGATATCCCTCTCCAGTGACTGGTCCCTCCTGACAATATGTCCAAAGTATGAGAGATGAAGTTTGGCCATCCTGACCTTCAAGGAGCACTCTGGCTGTACTTCTTCCAACACAAATCTGTTTGGTATTTTGGCAGCCCATGGTACTTTCAATATTCTCCTCCAACACCACAACGCAAAGCATCAATTCTTCTATGGTCTTCCTTATTCACTGTACAGCTTTCGCATGCATATGAGGTTATTGAAAATACCATGGCTTGTATCAGGTATATCTTAGTCTTCAAGAGCACATCTTTGCTCTTCAACACTTCAAAAAGGTCTTGTGCAGCAGATTTTTCTAATGCAATACATCATTTGATTTCTTGGCTGCTGCTTCCATAAGTGTTGATGGTTGAGCCAAGAAAAATGAAGTCTTTGACAACTTCAAAGTTTTCTCTATTGAAAAGAATGCTGTTTATTGATCCAAGGCTCTGCTGCGCCAGTTACATTCAAGGCAGAGAGACAAGCTCAGAAGGTTACAACAACTGTTGTTTTGGATTACAAAGGTGTAATGATAGATTTTCTTGAAGAATAGGCAGCAATCATGGGGGCTTATATTAGAAAGATGTTTTAAGAAAATGGAAAACTGTATTGGTGGAGTAAGGTCAGGAAAGTTGCACTAGGGAATTATTTCACCACAACAATGCACCTACATAGTCTTTGAAAGTAGCAAGAGCAGCCATACAAGACTCTCAGTGATAAATCTTACCCCATCCACTCTATAGTCCTGATTTGCTTCCCTTGAAGATGCCAAAACTGATGTTCTGATGTAGTAAAAATTGAAGAGTGCAGAATTCTTCAGGGAACAGTTAGAGTTATGAAAAATCACCTTCAAAAGTGTATAGATGTCCCTAGGAAACATCAAGGCAAGTGGCCAGGTCCTCTCAATGCAAACCCCCTTCCAAGACTAAGACTCAATGGAAATGCACACTCTGATTGGTGACCACACACATCACCGATGGGC